AAGAAGAAGAAGAAGAAGAAGAAGAAGAAGAAGAAGAAGAAGAAGAAGAAACAACAGTCATAGGAATAGCATACAATTTTAATACACTGGCTATCCATTTTGTAGCACACAGTGTTATCAGTGGTTTGGGATCTTCCTATTTTTTGGTGTCTTTCTTTTAAAATAACGTATCATCAGTCTGGAACCCACATTACGTATCTGATAATAGCACAGTTGAGAAAGTCCACATATATTTCACAAGAAGAGTTCTCCACTCCTCTATTCATTGTAGAATACCTTATGCCACCAGACTTGAAATTCTAGACCTAGAAAACCTTGAATTACGCCATCTTCAGTTTGATCTAAGTATGGTATATAAAATCATACATTGCAATGTCCTACCTGTCAATGAATACTTCAGCTTCAACCATAACAACACAAGAGCAAACAATAGATACAAACTCAAGGTTAACTGCACCAAACTTGATTGCAGGAAATACGACTTCAGCAACAGAGTGGAACATGTCTGGAATACTCTGCCTGACTCTGTGGTTTCTCCCCCAGACCCCAAAAACTTTAACCTTAGACTGTCTACTATTGATTTCACCCCTTTCCTAAGAGGTCTGTAGGGGGCGTGCATAAGCGCACCAAGGTGCCTACCGTCCCTGTCCTATTGTTTCTTTCATTTTTCTTATATGTATCCATGTATTCATAACTATGTATATATTTATACCTATTATCTTGTAAGCGATAGATAAATCAAATCAATCAATCAATCAATCAATCAATCAATAAATAAATAAATACTCTGCAAACTCCATTTGGTACAAAAACGATTGCATTTAAAAAAAATTAATTATGAGAAAGGCTGTATACCTAGAAAATAAATCTTTTATTCAACATGCAGAGTTAAATTAAAAGGTGGTGGGGGGGGGTTCAGTTTAAAAAAAAATCTTTTATTTGAAAAGATTTGATAAAAACTGCATATTTGTGATTAGCTGACCGTGGCACAGGTTCTGACCAGTTCTGGAGAACCGGTAGTGGAAATTTTGAATAGTTCAGAGAACCGCCAAATCCTATCTCTGGCTGGAGATTTTATAGCATCCTTCCCTGCCACGCCTACCAAGCCATGCCCAAAGAACTGGTAGTAAAAAATTTTGAATCCCACCACTGGACCATGGATGATGAGTTGGAATAAAATGGCACTTCTTACCTTTTCCCCAAATAGTCTTGGTTTAAGAATATGATGGTGAATATAGAAAGTCCAGCATCATCTAATCTGGCACTGTTTTTTAACTTTATTATTATTCTTTTACACTGTACTTCTTGTTCATATGAAATCAGTATTTCGCACATGTTTTAAAACCAACTAAAAAAACACAAGATAATATAAATGTACAGTCTTTTCTTTGACCATGGTCAACAGTATATAAAATTACCCTGTTGGGGTTGGGGGAACAATCACGCCTATAGGGTCCTGGCGATCCATTTGGGTGCCATTTCAAACCACATACATGGCTGATGAGTTAACCTGTTCCCTCCAACTTGGAACTAAGGAGAAATTTCCTGATAAGTGAGAAAAATTAATCAGTGGAACAGTTTGTCTTCTGGAGTTGTGGGTTCTCCATGGTTGGAGGTTTTCAAGAAAAGGTTGGATAACTATTTGTCCAGGAAGAAATAAGGACTTCTGCCTTGGGCAGGGGGTTGGATTGGAAGACCTCCTACAGTCCCTTCCAGCGGTGGGTATTCAGCAGGTTCTGACCAGGTCTGGACAACCAGTAGCGGAAATTTTGAGTAGTTGGGAGAACCGGCAAATCCCTGCTCTGACTGGCTCCACTCCCATCTACTCTCTGCCTCCCGAGTCCCAGCTGATTGGCTGGGTCTTCTTTGGTTGCCTGCACAGGAGAACGGAGCTGGAAAGCAGGTTAATGGGGTGGGGAGGGAATGGGGATTTCGCAGTAATCTTCCCCTTCCATGCCCACCCAGACACACCCACAGAACCGGTAGTAAAAAAATTTGAATCCCACCACTGGTCCCTTCCAGCCCTAGGATTGTATGATTTTGTGATTATTATCCCATTCTTCCTATTAGCCCTAAGCGGAACTATCTGAGCCAAGGTAGGTCTCATGGAATATGCCCCCTAGTGGTGAGAAAGCATAGGTCCCTAGACCCCATTAAACCTGGGATGATAAAACACGGCACAGAGAAAGCAATGTGTGTGCGTGTGTTTGTGTGACATGACTACATTTCCTCTTCTTCTGCAGCAGCAGCAACAACACACAGGTCTTTCCCTTCTCTTGAACAGTTGCCTAACATCCCCCACTTCAGCTGCTATACAAGGGAAATTGCTCTCACTTTCTCACTTATAACTCAGATGGATGTAGTAGAGCAGAGGTGCTTAGTTGTGGCCCACGGGGCCAGCCTGAAAATGTCAAAGGACTGGCCCATGGTGCCTCTACCAGCCACAGCAGGCCATAGGGGCCCTCCCCCTCCCCTCCCCCGCAGGGAGATTGGTTCCCTCAAAGAAGCCTTTATTTTAGAGGTCACACTCACGTAGAAGCTGGGTTTACAGCCATTTGGGTAGTCTAAATGTTCCTCTCTGTGCTCTCATTATGGGACTGTGCCTCAGAATTAAGGTGTGGATCAACAGCTCTACTTACTTGTTATACAAAACTAAATCTGGACGCCAGATTATCTCCGAGGGGATGCGGATTTGCTTCACACCACCATAGTCTGATGGATTCCATTTCAAATTTGCATCTATCCATTGCTGGGGAAGGGAGAGAATTTCAGAGAATTTACAAATAAGTTGAATAAAGAACAATGGTTTTATTCATTAAACATAAGTTATAGAAGGAACAAAAGCAATATGGCTACGCCTGGTTCAAGAATGTATATCTCCTTATGTCAGTGGTCGGGGAACAGGGGTAAATTACCCCAAATGGGGTAAAAGTGAAAATCTGGGGGTAATGAGGAGGTTGCGCTGGCCAATGGCGGAACTATCGGCATAGCAGCAGTTATTACGGTCCATTATAGCACGGACGGCCAGTGTCAGTGTGTGTCAGTGTCACCGCATCCTCCTTCTCTGCTCTGCTCCCCCCCCGCTCTCTCAGTGGACTGCTCCAGCGTTTACGTGTATGGCGCAAGCGCTGTAGAGAGAGCGGGTACTGGGGGGTCATCTGGCTACTGACTACTCTAACCAGACGGAGCGCGTGCCGGAGAGGGAAGGGTGGGAGCAGGGGGCGAAGGCGGTCGGTCTGAAGCTTTCCGGGACAAGCCTAACTTGAAGGCGAGGGGTGGCGGAGCGCGCACGTGCCAGCGCAGCTGTGGGCGAGGGCGCTGGAAGGCCGCCCGCTGCCGTTAACCCAAACGACTGCTGCCGCGCTCGGCTCTCGTATGGGAGCATCTCAGTTTACACGCCGTTTTTAAAGAGCCGAAGTCTAAACCGCGCGCCCCGACTAACGTAGCCCCAGCGCTGCCTGCCGCGAGCTCGCAGCTCCTGCCGCTGCACGCCGGAGGTCGCGTTTGCTTCAGCCAGCCAAAACTCGCAAGCTGGACTGAAACCGGGAGGGCGCGGGGGGGGGGAGGACAGGGGAGGGCTTCTGGCGCTGTCGCGGTTCGTGTCTCTGGAGCCCGCGAAAACAAGTCGGGGGCGCTGAGAGGCCGAGCGAGCAGGTTCCCTCCCTCCCTCTTCCCTCCCTGGCGGCTTTTTGTGCCAAACGGGAAAAGGTCGGTTTGGCTGGCAGCAGCTCAAGTGTCCGAGGCGATGGCCATTTGCGCAATTAAGGCGGCTGAGATAAAAGGTTGTTTTCTTCCCGCTCCCCACCCATCTCTGGAGCCACCTGGAGTAGTTTGCCTTACTCGGATTGCCAATTTTCCGCGCTCTCTCCGCAGACGCGTCTATAAAAGTTGGAAGGTGGCGCGAAGTCAGCAGGTGCAGCCACAGAGAGTGCAGTACAGAAGAAGCCTGCTCTGTCATCCAAAGAGATTCGCATTACAGAAGCCCCTCGAGCTGCACGTTAGGAGACGATTCCTAATGCTAAGTTTCCTCCCCTGAACGATCAATTAGCCAGAGAAGCGGTGGGATCCCCTTTACTGGCTGGGTTCAAGCACAGGCTGGAGGCAGTCACTTGCATTCCTTTGCATTCCTGACAGAACATAAAAGTTGACTTCTGTGGCCTAAATCGCTTTTTTTTTTTTACTGTCAATATTTTTATGAAACTTTCTGAATTGCTGAGCTGAAGTGTTTTGACATGGAAGTTTGTTGTGCCTATTGCCAATTTGAAGACAGTCTCTACTGCCTTTGTTTTGAATAGAAATTGGCAATAGCCACAACAAATTTATTTATTTATTTGATTTGTCAATTGCTTACAAGATAATAGGTATAAGTATAAACATAATTATGAATACATGAAATGGATACATATAAGAAAATAAAAGGAAACAATAGGACAGGGAAGGTAGGCGTTGGTGCACTTATGCACACCCCCTACAGACTTCTTAGGAAAGGGGTGAGGGACTGGTGTATTTGAATTCAAAATGTTATTGGATGTATGATTTCCTTACTTTCAAATCAAGGGGGTAACGTCTGCGTTTATAAATTTTTTGGGGGGTAAGAGGTAAAAAAGTTCCCTGACCCCTGCCTTATGTCCTAAAATGATTATCAGTGTATGCATACATATTCATACACATGTGCATGTGTGTTCTGACCCGCCCTTTGCAGATGCAGGAAACAAACTCCCCACAAAGAAAAACCCCTCTTTATTTACACATTGGGAATTGTTATGACTCCCCTTCAAAATTCAAACGAATAAAACAGAAAGCAGCCGTTTCACAATTAAATCAAACGGAAAGAAGTGTTACAAGATAACGGCTGGCAGAAACCACAGCATAAATCTTTACTCTGTCCAGCAAACCAGTCCTGGCAATAAATTTCCAGTCTCAGAGCTCCTTGCTGTAACGTCCTCACTCAAATAGTCACTTTGTTCCTGGCAAAATGTACCAGCCCAGCTGTGTCCTTTTATACTCATTGAGGCAACGTGCTAATTTACTGACTCGCCCTCCTCCTTCGCTCCAGCTGATTTTGCCTTCTCAACCGTCTTCTGTTCCTTACATTTAACCACAAATTTTCCAAGTTCTCATCTCCACTAGAAGACTCTCTCAAAACTTCCCTGTCAGCCATTCCCGGCTGTTGATCAGATAAGGAACCAGAGGAGGTCAAAGGTCCTGACAATTCTAATACATCAGGTCTGTCTTCCTTTGTCACGTCCATCTCCTCATCCTGGTTACCAGTCCAATCACTGAGCCAGGCCGGCTCATATTTTTCTGCCATGACCTCCTCACTTGAACTCATATCATTCACAGGAGCTGAATCCAAGCCCAGAGCCACAACAGGGAATTAACCGCATTCACCAACAGAACGTCCAGGCAAGAGTCCTGCAAGGAGTTAACTGAAGCAAAAGTGCCTATCATCTTGTTATGATAAATGCAAGGCTGTGAACTCCCAGCAGGGAGGCTGCAAATTAAGTCAGTTCAAACAGAGAAATAGACAAACCTCAGTTCTGGCAAGGTAGTCTTTGTCTCACAAAACACACAAAGAGCAAACGCAAATGGTTGTCTATGACAACCAAACGACTCCCTTTTCCTCCTACGGTGGAGCCTCAGGTCGTGTCCAGAAGCACGACTGACTGTGCATGCGCACAGTAAAAAAAAAATGGTGCTGAAGAGGGAATCTTTTCATGCCAATTTTGTTTGCCACCCAATTTTTAAATCATTACCCAATTCAAAAATCGGGTGGATTTTTTCTTCGCCACCTGATTTGGTCACAAACAGAAATGTTCATGAGCCGAGGTTCCACTTTATTTATTCCCCAGCCAGGGAGGGGCCAGTCAGTGTCCACGTTTGATTTGCTTCCTGAGCCGGCTCATTGTCCTCCGTTGTTCATCTTTCCTATCTGCACTGTGCATACACGCATCTGAAACAGGCCCCAGCTGTTCCTCCTCCTCAATCATCTCTGACTGCAAAGGCAGCTGCCTCTCTGACTGGGAAATGCCGGACGTCCCTGGCCCTATCTCTGTGTCCAATGCTGAGCATCCCTCAGAGCCTTCCCCAGGCTCCAGAACTGGCCCAAGTTCTTCTCCACCCTCCTCATTGTCCGAGTCTGGCGGGCCACAACAATACGCATCTGCATCCACATACATATACATATACAACTGTGTTCTTAGCGTTACTTATTATAAATTGATTATGTTTTAACTCACATACTTTAATATACTTAGCTACTTAATCATATTTACGTAGGGTAAGGGACTCAGTAGTGATGTGGTATGTATGAAAGAACTATACTTGGAAAATAGCAAAGTATACTTTAAAACCATTTGGTGCATTCCAACTTAGGGCATTGTGGGAATTTTTCTTGGAGGTTCACCCCTCACCCCACCCCACTTCAAATCCAGCTCATTTGCATCCTTTTGAAAGGAGTTTGTCAAATGTATTATGGAGACGGAAGGAGGGAGAAGAGCAACTTCTGGAAATCCAATTCAGTTCTGTCTGGTGCTTAGAATAAGCTGCTGTGACAAACTTTAGAAAAGCCTTTCATTGCGCCTCTCTTTAGTCGTAGCCCACAAGAATATAGCAAAGGAATTCAACCCCTTGGAAAAGGCAGCTTCTAATTCAAATGCATTCCTTGAACAGGGGGACAAGGCCGATCAAAACACACCTTTGGGCATCAAACACAACGTGCTGGTTTATAAATCATGGAGTTATTACCTGTTTCAGACGCACATTGGTGCTTACTATTTGATTTACTTCATCCTTAGGAGAAAAAACAAAGACAAGGTTAACAGAAGACAACTTGTTTGCAATAATCGGCGTTGAGATTATTGGTTAAAAACCTTTGCTGTTTTCCCCTTCTTTTCTTTCTCTCCAAGCACTGAATTCCCACTGCCAAAATGCAGACTGCAAGCTATGTGAGTCAGAAACCTGCTTCTCTTTGCTCCCAAAAGCAACATAGTTAGAATTTTAGAAATTAGTGAGATTTCCTCCCCCCAATTAAAGAAAGCTTAATCGATTACTGCCATGAGACCGTTCCTTCTTAGCCAAAGAAACTACAGGTAGTCCTGGACATACATTTTTCTGAAGAAAGAAGCAAACGATTTTTGAATTGGGAGGGTACATGTAGATTCTTGCAGCAGGCAGCACTGGAGAGGTAGAAGAGAAAGGAGGCTTAAAAGGGAATTGCCATCTTCCTGGGCAGAGCTACCTGGAAAGCACTGTACTCCAATTGGACAGCATAAATTGGTCTAAGGTAACATTTTACTGTATCCATGGGTTTGCACTGCAGCTAAAGATACTTTGGAAGTTTTGATTAGGGCATCATGTAGTTACCAGAATGTCATTTACATTGCTAGTTTTCTTGCTTCAAATCACTTCAGCCTTAAAATAATAATAATAATATCATAATCCAGGATTTGTTGCATTCTAATGTCTCGATCTTATTCCAGATGCTACCATACAATTTATAAAAGTGAACCATCCCTAGTACAGTCCAGATAGATATCTGCCACGAAGACTCCAATCAGAATACCTGCACTGAAGCGGGAATGCCTAAACCAGGGGTCCCCACCCCCAGTCTGTGGACCAGCCCTGATCCGCTGCATGCCAGTCTGCACAAACAAGCAAAGTCCCACTGTGGGATGCAGGTAGCACATGAAACCACCTCCTTTGGTCCGTGGAAAAGCTTCTCTCCATGAAACCGTTCCCCCGTTCCCAAAAGGTTGGGTCTCCTGGCCTAAACAACCCCTCCCAATTCCAAGTTGTTGTTATTAAAAGCTTCAAGCTCCTAGATTTAAAAGTATCTCTGCCCAAATATGCTTATCTCCTTCTGAGGCCTTCTTTCGTGTATGTTCCTGACTCCTGGGGATGATTTTTCTGGCAAGAACCACATTTCCTTAAAGCTGTAAGGTGCTCTATATCACCTATATGTCAGGGCTGACCCAAGTGATCGGAGAGACAAAACTTAAGGCAACAAAGTAGTTAGTGAAAACGCCACAGAAAGCACATCCAGATGTTTCAGGATTCTGTAACTGGAGCTGTTCTAGTAAAAGTAGCTGTAGGTCTACATGGTGACTCTTAGTCTGATCTAATAGGGCTGAATTATTAGTGGGCTAGTTGATCAATCTATCGGATATTGTTTCTCATAGCCTTTCTCGGATGTTCCTTTTGACTCCCTCCCTTCTCTTCCCCCTTTACATCTGAGGGCCAGGGAAGGACTTTTGAAATGAGCCAGTCTGCTCGCATTTCCTTGTGCCACCTGCAGCACCTGTAGTGCTTGCCTGCAGTACCCACCTGCCCATAACTCTGGCCTACCATCTTGCTTGCCTGGATTCTTCCCTTTCCCCGCTGGTTATTGCTTAACGATGGTAACAGAAACTGATTTAGCTATTGCTATGCATTGTGATCCCATGACATTGCAATTTACCGCCGCATCGCTTAGCAACAGTAATTCTGGTTTCACCATAACCAAGTAAACCAAGAAGTAAATGCACGTAAAAGTGAAGATGTAGGCTTAACTATTATGAAAGGAGTTATGATGTATATGAAAAGATAAGATTTTATGACATTGAGATTGTTGGTGGTGAGAATAGAAGAATGAATTAATTCGTTCAATTAATTAATAATTAATTAAATTTACTTGCTACCCATCTCGCCACAAAGTAACTAATTATTTGATTAATTCATTAAGCAAAGCCCCCCCCCCAATAATGGGAAACTGTTAATAATGATAATGGCATATTAAGAGCTGTGGTGGCACAGTGGTTAGAATACAGTATTGCAGGCTAAATCTGCCCACAGAAGGTTGTCCGATCCTGACGGGATCAAGATTGGCTCAGCCTTCCATTCTTCTGAGGTTGGTAAAATGAGTATCCAGATCACTGGGGGCAATGTGCTGACATTGTAAACTGCCCAGAGAGTGCTGTAGCATAAAGCACCATGGAACGGGATATAAGTCTAAGTGCTGTTGCTATTAACACTTTTACCATACCACATTGATCAGCTGGATAAGTTGCAGTCCCACAGTGACTTCCACAATCTGATTGTGATCGCTTAATGGACGCACAACTGGGTTGTAGTTCTCGAATAAATCTTTAACCAGGCGGCTTTCATCACTGGAACCATGGACTAGAATAGCTGCAGGATAATATAATAAAAAAGCAACATTTGAGAAACAGTGACAAAAACATTGTGAAAGTCTGAGCCGATGCCAAGGGTTTGGAGCTGAGCTGGGTGTTTGGAGTCTGAAGGAGAAGCCAGAATAACTGCTCATTTCCTAGGGCCTTTCAGGATGATCTCTAGTTCTTTTTCTGGGATTGCAGACATCATACTGAGTTGTAATTCTTCTATTGTTTAACTTTCCCAAGAATGTTTTTGGATTATATGCAGAACTGAAAAACATTTGGAAAATCACACGGATGTTGGCTCTTCTCACTGTAATAGGCTTGCTTTCAATTTAGGTTTTTAAATTACACTAATCTTAAAAAAAAAAACCAAATGAACAACTGATATCAAATGAAGTTTGAAGATACTAAATGAAGTCTGCTTCACAAACACTTGCATTCCAGGCCTGCATTATTGAGCCTATAGTGGAGTTTTAAACAGTGCTGATTTCTCCAGTTTAGTCATGTGGAGGAGTATTTATTCATTCATTCATTTACAAGGTTTAGAGGTCACCCAACTCCGAAATTACTTCAGGGCAGCTTATTCTAAAAATAGAAAACAATAAAAGGATAACAGTAAAAAGTAATTTCAGGCATTCAGGCAAACACCCTCAAACACATAGCTGCAAATTGTAAGCATAATCAGCACCAACACCCAACTACTGAAAGGGCTGGGAGAACAATCAAGTTCTTAAAAACTTCCAAAACATGAATCAGTTCCAGTTTGAAGGGCTTTGGCGACAGACAGAAATCTGCAATCGTGCACGGTTTCTGTCTGGGTTCGCTGCTGGAGCACCCTGAGCCGGCTGGTTTCACGGCTAAGCCACCCCATAGAGGTGGTGAAGAGGGGGGAGACTGCCAGCAGGGTTCAGGAGAGCTGCATCTCTCCTTCTCAGCTGGCCATTACTCCCTTTCCTGAAGGTGGTTGCAGCGGTGGTCAGAAATGGCTACCACAAAGGAGAACTCAACCGAAAAGAATGTGCAGGAGGAAGATAAGAAGTGAACGTTTTGGCTGACTGGGTTAAATTGTAAAAGCAACAACTAAGGTACCCTGGAATTTAAACTTACAAAAAAATAACATGGCTCCCAAAGAAGAGTCAGAAGCAGCGAAGGAAAGTGAAAAGGGAAAGGTTTGGCTTTTTTCTTCTTCTCTCTCCTTCCCTATACTGACAACTAAGAGACTTAAATAAGAAATCGGAAAAATCCGCTTTGACATCAATAGGCAATTAAGCTGAAAATAAAACAAAATGCCAAAGGGATAATAAAGATTTCTGGACATTAAAATTTTTCTTTTTCATAAGCAGGAAGGGAGAGAAAAAGAATAAGGGCAGGATCTGGAAGAGGGAGGAGACTGCCTGGAATTAAAAAGAATCTACAGTAAAATTCAACAAGACTTCTAAAAGATACATTTTAACTGAAACTTTGCAACTAAATAGTAACCCCAGGAAGAGAAAGTGAAAAAAAAGAGCAAAAAAGAAACAGCTTGCGTGTATTTGGATTATTTGGTGATCTTTGGATTCTTGGTTATTATATTTGAATGACTAAAATCAATTGGGTGGTTGTTTAAAAATTTATACAATGGCACCACTTCTGGATGAATTGAAAATGGAACTTAAAAAGTACAAAGAAGATGCACAAGTTTTTCAATTCTTAGAAATGGAGATTTGGAACTATGAGAAACAACAAGAAATGACTGCAAAACAAGAAGACTGGGACAAAGAAGAAGCCATCTTTAATGAACAAGCAATTTTATGTGGGGAAGAAAAAGGAAAGGGGGGAAAGAGAATGGAGAATTTAAGACTTAAAAAAACAAACAAAGAAAAGAAAAATAATTTGAAAAATAAGTATAATACTGGAAAGCAACAGAAAAGGGGAATACAGAAGAGAGAAATAGAGGTAGAGAGACAAGGGGGTAAACAGGGAAGAGAGAAGAAGAGAGGGAAGAAGGAAAGGAAAAGAAGTTACAAAGGACCGGAGCGATATAGAGAAACAGGACCTATTTAGAGATGATGGGTGAAAATCTAACTGAAAAAGGGATTCTGTAAAGGTACACAAGATTGTATTGTTATATTAGTAATAGAAATAACTTTAGAAAATTGGAAACAACGTATGATTAAAATGAGGGATAAAATAGTGTGATTTAGTGAAATGTTTGTGAATAAAATAAGTGAAATAAAATAAATGAGAAAATTGAATTAGGAAGGAACGGGAACATTTTAATTAGTTAATGTTTTATAAAATATAAGTGAAGGGGGGGAATTAATTATGGAAAGCTGATAATTGTTCCCATAGCAGTATGATATTTAATTTGAAAAGTAATGTTAAATATGTAAAGACTTAATATTAATATTAATGATAGAATTGAATTGGAATGGAATGTTGTTTTAATTATATACATTTATAATTTTTTTCTTTTTTTAAGAATACAGTGCGTATTTTAAGAATGTACCAAGCAGAATCCGAATGGAAGTTATGTATTATATTGAATGTTACAACTTAGGGAAAAGATATAAAGGCGTCATACTCCAATCAGTAACTACAGGAGAAATTTTGTTTAATGAGAAAAGATAATAGATAATTGAAACAGGACAGACAAAAAATATAAATACAATGATTTGAATTGAGATGAGATAATTAAAATAAAATTGAGAAAATTAAAAGAGGGGAGAAGCTATGCAGAAGATGTAAAATAGTAATAAGATATGGAATAGAATATAAAAATGAGCATGAACCTGAATTTGCGTCTGTACGAAGAAATGTAACCCGGGATTACGCTACTTTCAAAAAATATGTTTTATTTGTATTTTTTTTTCTCTTTGTGAAAACTCAAATAAAATTTACAAAAAAAAAAAAAAGACTTCCAAAACGTAATGAGATATCATTCCAGACTATTTTCCAGACTTGGTAACTGCTGATCTGGTAACAACTAGTCATTTGTCAACCAACTGACTTCTCTTCTATTTTTTTAGTTGTCCCTCACATCTCGTAGATTTTGGCCATAGAAATAGACCAGGTTCTGAGAGCAGTTCCCAGCATATTTTGCTGACTAAGGCATAGAGGATAGTGCTTCTCATCTTCTCTTTGAAGAAACTGATTGGATTGGTAGTTGGTGGGTTGTTATTCTCCTACAACATCTGAGGAATCTGGGTTTTACCATTCATCATAGAGATTACCTGAAGAATTCTAGAGGAACTGTTCTGGGATCTATCATTGGCACCTCAAGGAGTTGCTTCTCTCAGTGTAAATAAATGCCTCATTCCTGTGGTTGGAACTGGGGAATTAAATGATGGTTAATTACACCCCAAATGCTAATCATCACTGAAGGAATGCCTTGGCCACCAGGTATACCTTCAGCTGGATCCTCTCCCAAGCAATTTGATATGGTTAAATTTGTATCTAGAATGACTTCTACAATGAATAAAAATATTTTTCTTATTTTGGTTGACATCTTTAAAGAGGGAAATGGTTATTGTTAAAGTTCTATGCAGTGAAGGTAACAAAGATCCATTGATAAAAGCTAGGTCCCCTTTCTTCTGTTGCTTATACTTTTGGTTCATGCAAATCTACGATTTGATATTTGAGGACTCTCCATATAAGGGAAGCCAATGACAGCAGCCATTAGAAGAGGAAACTGTCATGAGTAAAACTGAGAGGAATTGCAAAAACCACAGTTTATCAGATTATTAATCCCAAGGCTGTCCTCTCCACTTACATGGAGAAATTGAGATGAAGTCAAGAGAACAACTGACTGCAGAGGGATTTAGTTTTCAATGGACTGCATATGTGCAATTAAGAGAAAATTTTAATATAGTTAAAAAAGTAATAGGCTATATAAGATGGAATTTGAGGGCCAATTACTATATGTACATGTAAAATTCTGTGCAATTTTCTGCAGAAATGATAAATGTGATTCCTAATATGTATAAATTTTGAAATTGAAGAACAAGTTAAAATGCATGATAAAATGGCCTAGGAACTTTGGTTATAATATACAGGTGGACCAATGGGAAAGAATGTTATAATTTAAGAGAGAATTACTATAAAATGATGTAAAGTTAGTTTATGACACCAGAGAAATGATGTAAGATGTAAAAAGGTACTTCAAGTCAATGCTGAAAATTTGAAAAACACGAAGGGACATTTTTATTTGCAGGTAGACTTGCGAAAAAGCAAAAATGTATTGAATATAAATGCATATGATGGTACAATGAATTTTAAAGATAAATATTCAGATGAAACCAGAATTTATTGGCACTTATGGACAGTCAATTCCTTTAAAAAGGCTCACAGAATACTGGTTTTGTATATGGTAACAAGACCATTAGATACATAATGGTAGATAAATATTGTAACACCCACAATGGAGTATTGGATTGTGAAGATTGCAGAGTGTAGAGAAAGGGCAAAATTGACCTATTTGATCAGGGATAAAACAATAAGATTATACTTTTATACTTTTATAGACTGGAAACCTTTTCGCTGGAAATGGGGAAAAAAATAACATGGAGATTTCTGAATTTGCTGATTAAAAAGGGTTCAGTAATCGGATAGAAGGGATCTTTGTACTGTAATCTTAGAGAGGGAGGAGAGAGACAAAGTTTGTATGTAACTGCTGTGAAAAATTAAAAGTCACTTTTAAATTATCGTTTTTCCAGACTTTTCTTTTTCTTAACTGCTTTACATAAATAACATAAAATTGTTTGGTATTCTTTACATTAAAACTACAAACAAGAGCTAGTCTATTATTATTTTATCTGAGATATTGACATTTAATTATTGAAAGAAATATATTTATTTTTCATCCATAACTCCAGTGAAAAACTACTTTTCTTCAGAGAAGGAAGAAAAGTCACACTATTTCATTTATAGTTTTAAAGGTTCATGGCACTTGGAAAGTTAGAGAATCAAAATTTCTTTATTATTCCAAAGGACAAGGTGAAAACAACAATACAGTATATGTCTGACTCCACAGAAAGGACTCACCTTGCCTGGATTACATTAGCAAGTACTAGTGCCCTCTACTGGCCTGAATGTATTACAACCACATTTCTTCATAATGTAGAATTGAAATTGAATACTTGTGTTCAAAGATTCAGATTGTATATTTATTACTAACTCAGTAGATTGGGTTGCTCCATGTATAGGTACGAAGTAAGGCCTTTGAGATCTGTACAACTTCTCAAAGTGATTCACTCAAATAAAGAAAATATGTATAAAAATAACAAAAAATATTTTTTAAAATAAGATGTTAACATGTGAAGAAACACAAAATTATGCCATTAACAAGTTAGAAGTTGAAACAGCTCCACAATTTAACATTATAGCTAAATAAGTAAATTAGCAGATTAAATAATTTAAAACCCCTGGATCATTATGTGAAAAACAATTGGAAACTGGTATTTCATAAGGTAAAGGATTTCTGCTTATTCCAACTTTACTGAGCACTGCCTGAACATTTGGATCTGGCAGATGATTTCTCAATGCATTTTTATTAAAGTTTTTATGAACCCAACAATGACATCAAACACAAATTCTATATTATAATTATTTAAACGATCTCTCAAATCAAAAAATTGTATTGGTGTTGTTCAAACCTACTAAACAAATCCATTTTTCAATGAAGCAGAAAATAGCACCCTTATCAAGGAATTACCAAGGAGAAAACTACATCTTCACCAATGCTGGCCTATGACTATAATAAAAATTGATTGATCGATCGATTGACACCCCCACCAACATAGGCAGGGCAAGCTATTGTATATAAATAGAGACCAAACCCCATTCCCTTCTAGCACTGGTGATGTCACCTAATTTGGTAATGAAACAGCTTCAAGCAAACAGCCAAGTTCTCCCCATCCATATTTTTTTAAACAAAAATAACTATTTCACATTGTACCATAATGGATAGGAGAGCAACATCAGAAATATATGTCCAAAATCTATATAGTTCTTATTTAGACAGACCAATTTTTCAGTGGGGATTATTATATGTTAATTATGTATAACATTGCAGTGACATTCAATTTATACCTTCCTTAATGTTAATGTTTTGCTGTGTCCATTCTTTTGCATAAACTGAATTCCTGAAGAGACTCATCATTTATAGGTTCTTATGCGATTTTAAATGAAGCTACTTCTCTGGGTTCACACATTGTGTTCAGTAATGGTTTGTTTAACCACTGTCTAGTCAATACATCACAATCATTTTGGCTCATAAAAACAGAACGAATCACAGCTTATCCAAATCAATGAATCAAATCTAAAAAGGAAATCATACAATGGGTGTGTCTGCTACTTAAAAAGATATAGAGATGGCAATGACTTTTAGCAAAAGGCCATCAAGGTTCTTAAATAAGCTCACTGTGTCCAGGAGATAAAACGACTTAATTAGAAAATATTAATATTCTTGATAGGAAATGACCATAGTATTCATTCAGAATATGTATCTTCTTTTCTGAAATATTATGCTTATAATTGTGCATTTTACTTCAGCTACCTTTTATCCGATCAACATGATAAACTCACTTTGCAACTTGCAAACTTATGAGTACAAATTGCATTCAAAAGATATTGGTCAAAAGAATCACTAAATATAAGCATCTGAAGACTCATGTTACATGGTTATTGGGCACATCTTTTTATGTTTAGTTTTTATGCAGTATAGGGTTGGTGACTTAAACAAAATTTCAGTCTGAATAATAGGAGAATATGCTGCCATCCTACACTCTTGGAAGTACAAATGGGAGAAATCTGGTTTTTCAAATCTACTGCTATTCATTTCCATCTTCACTGTCATCAAAGGAAGGAAAGTAGATAAAACAAATAATGTGCAAAAGAGAGATTGGAACATTGCTCTTTCCTTTTTTTTTTAAATTTCTCTGCTCTGACTATAGGACTGGAATGTTTTACCTACAAAAGGTCCTGGAATCAAAATTGAATGACATCTTGGGGGGAAAAAAACCCCTGCCCTATGCAGGGATCAATAAAGGCTTCTGAAGAACATTTAAGAAATATAAAAACAACCAACTAGAAATAAAACTATTAGATTGATCCAGGGTATATTACTTGCAAATATCAAGCTATAGAGAAATGAAAGGTACAACTGAAAGAGGTGGAGAACAAAAGTTTGGGGAAAATCTGATCTTTAAGTAAGGCTGGTCATCTCTTTAAGATATACTGGATTCATTTCCAGCCTCCAGCTCTTTGAAAAAACTCTTTAATAGATTGGGGATCTCTTGAACAGCATGCAGTCTGGTGACAAAGGAAGGATTCCCTGCAAATTCGGTGGGGAAGGTAGCTTTGGTATGAGGAACTTTCAGTGAAGTGCAAAGAAAACTTTGTCAATTTAAAAAAAAAGAACAAATCTAAAATTCCTACTGAAGAACTACTTTTATTGAAGTAAATGGGATGGAAGATGTAAAACAATGTCTTCAAAAGGCAAGCAAGTTAAAAATTCAAAGTTCTATTGCTGGAATTATAATATCTGGTTGTTTCCAGGCAGAGTGAATGGAATCCCTGTGAGTCGCAGATTAAAGGAGAGGGTACAGTCAAAAGGAAACCAAAGAGGAAAAAAATGTTTGCCCCCCCCCCCCCCATATAACCTATATATATCCCTGTAATTTGGGGCATAATTAAGATTTATAAGGCAGACAAAAACAAGATTTCTTTCCTTTTATCTGTGATTTATCTATAGGGTATGAATCACTAAGTATATAACACCGTAAAGAGAAAATAAACACTAACCTGTGCTGTCTCTCTCTCTCTCTCTCTCTCATGCATATACATTTAAATACACACAGATATGCACAATTCTCTAGGAATTTTTTTCTCTCTCTCTCTGCTCTTCCCATAGGAGTTCCTGTACCAATGAAGTTAGACTGAAATTATACAATGATTTACCTGCTCCAAAGAGTAGATAGATGAATAAACAGTAGCTGTTCATCACTTTTCCTCTTTGATATAAACACTTGGGCATCCAACGTGCTCAAGATCCCAGTTGAAATAAAACTTTGCCTTTTTTTTTTTTAAACAAGGGTGCTTGGAGATAGGACCACAGAGCTATTGTTTCACAACACCTGCTTATGCGGACAGGCAGCTGAAAGCCAGCATGCCAACTGGAAGGAGGTGCAGTCTATTTTTGACAAGCCAACAGGAACAGTCTATTTTTGACAAGCATAGGCTCAGAACAGTTTTTGTCTAAGTTGCACATCCCATGGGAATGTGCATATATCTATATACATATGTATTTAAAAGCTGTCGATTGTTCCAATATTCATAGTGCGTTTGTCTTGCAGTAAACGACATTAATTTCACCAAACTTTCCTTTTATAATGGCTTGTTAGCTGTTAGCCAGGTTTCTTTGGAACAGATCCATGCAAACATTTGGGCATATCCTAACCCTTGTCACATGGCTAAACCTGCCAATCTAGCCATCTACTAAAACTCAACTTTGCCCAGTCTCCTCCCACATTAAAAAGAATGACTGATTGATCTGTTGATGCCTGTTGGAAGGGTCAGGAACATAGCTGAGGAATTGACCAATCTCTTTTGAAAATAAAGATAAAGATTTCCCCTATCCAGTAGTGTCTAGTGACTCTAGGGGGCGGTGTTCATCTCTGTTTCTTAGCCAAGGGAGCCAGCATTGTCTGAAGACATTTCCATGGTCATGTGGCCAGTATGACATCACCCTGCAGCGCAGAGCATGTGGAGAAACACGGAACGTGGTACTTTCCTTCTGAAGTGGTACCTATTTATCTACTCACATTTGCATGCTTCTGAACTGCTAGGTGGGAAGGAGCTGGAGCAAGACCAGGAGCTGCCTGTTGTGTAGTGCTCGGGTCTTGAACCTGGCTTGTCAAAGCTCACAAGCTCAGCTTCTTGAGCCATCGTGCCTGGAAATAAAGACACCATTTAGTGATAACCCACAACAATGGCTAGATAGAGATCAGCATCAGGCGCTGCAAATCTCATACCAATACAGTTTTCTTCTAGCACAAGAATTGGTAAATCATGGATAAAGAGCTTGAAACAAAATTTGGAATATATATCCTGAAAGATGGAATGAGGTAGTAATTCCCACAATGGAAAAATGGGCAGTAAAAGTGATGGCATTGGCATGAGGAGTCCTAATTAAAGAGAAGTTGTCAAGTTTTGTTTCCATTTGGAAACTACTTCTGGATTTTGAAAAGCTGAAATTTTAATTTTATTTTCATAAAATGTTAGTAAAAATAATTTTATTTAATTTTACTTAATGATAAGAATGATTTTGATGTTATAGAAATGTCTTGAAACATTTAGAAACAGGAAGCAAAAAGTTGTAGCTATAACTTTTGGGGGGGTATTCCACTGCACTGAAAAAAGTCAGAAGTTAACTTTCTTTTTTTCTTTCTTACCTCTGCATTCTTCCCTTTTCTTTTCTCAAAAATTTACTTACTTTTTGTTTTTATTTGTATTTTATCCTACAATAAACTCTAATGAAAGTTTAAAAACCAACAACACTGCACTCCAAAGATCAGCAGTGGGGGATTTTCCTCAAGGAGACTTTCTCCAATTTCAAACTATGTCATTTCTCTTCAGGAATTTACTGTAGTGATCATGTTGATTTGAAGTTGACTTGTCCTATTTAATGCCGCATCCTCCAGAAGGGTATTATAGGAAAAGACCAAATATATAACTGAAGGACCTAACATGCTAAGTAGAAAGCAAGAGCTTTTCCTTTCAGTAAGAAAGGAACGGTTGAGTGGAGGGAGAAGAGAAAAGAAAAGATGTAAAGAGATTTCAGGCAGAGGGGAAGGAAGTGATGCTACCCATTGGAAGGTCCAGTGTATTTATAAAGCAATGAGTTGCCCATCAAATCTGGTGGGTTACTGGTTAATAGAGACTGTAATTGGATCTCCCCAAATGTGTTCGTGGCCATTTTGAAGAGTTACTTGTGACAGTTGATCAGGATAGCAAGAATATCTCTAGGATAAGATCCTTCCTGTTTCACAGCATCCGACAGAGTGCTGGCAGCAGTGAAGGTAAAACCACTAGCAGTATTGGAAGAATGTGTTTGGATGATGAAGAAGGGATTTCCACCTCAGTTTCTCTATTTATAGAACTGAGAGTGCATCTGTCAGTTCATTGACACTCATGGGCACCACATTAGAAACTTCAACTCCAATGGACTGTGTGAACAGAGGGATACAGTCAAGATCAAGGGAAGTACTAATACCACTCTATAAAGCCTTAGTAAGACCACCCCTAGAGTACTGCATCCAGTTTTGGTCACCACATTATAAAAAAGACGTTGAGACTCTAGAAAAAGAGAAGAGAAGAGCAACCAGGATGATTAGGGGACTGGAGACTAAAACATGAAGAACGGTTACAGGAACTGGGCTTGGCTAATCTAGTAAAGAGAAGGACCAGGGGATACATGATAGCAGTCTTCCAATATTTGAGGGATTGCCACAGGGAGGGAGGGGTCAAACTATTTTCTAAAGCACCTGTAGGCCAGACAAGGAATAATGGATGGAAACTGAACAAGGAGAGATTTAACCTGGAAATAAGGAGAAACTTTCTGACAGTGAGAACCATCAACCAATGGAACAGCTTGCCCTCGGAAGTTGTGGGAGCGCCATCACTGGAGACTTTCAAGAAGAGATTGGACTGCCATTTGTCAGAAATGGTGTAGGGTCTCCCACTTGGGGTTGGACTAGATGACCTACAAGGTCCCTTCCAACTCTGGTTATCTGTTATCTGTTAAGCTGATCTATAGATAAGAGCTTGGATGCTCAAATTAATTGAATAGGTAATTCCTGGTACGTAATAAAGAAAGGAAGAGAAATCAGACTTCTTAACACATTTGTTCTTAACTACATTATTGTAACGTTTTTGGCATATTCATTTAGGTGAGAATCTGTTGTGAGAATCTGCAGTGAGAATCTGTTTGCCTCATTATAAAATGAAGTTATGTTTCTTACTACCATCATAACGCCAAGCAAATCAAACACAAGTGCGGAAAGATTATATTATAGCCACAAGAGGGAGCATTTGATCTACAGATCCAAGAGCTGAAAAAAAATCCCTGTAGGGTCAGCTTTTCATTATTGGTTTGGACTCACTTTTTTAAAAATGAACATCACAATAGATTTTTGTATAAACATATAACAATGCTTATGTTTTTTCAGTGTCTATGCTCAAAATATCCAAAAACAGCAACCAAGGCTGAAGTTCTATCTCTCCTTCCTTCCTTCCTTCCTTCCTTCCTTCCTTCCTTCCTTCCTTCCTTCCTTCCTTCCTTCCTTCCTTCCTTCCTTTCCTCTCTCTTTAGTTAAGATACAGATAATCAGAGTTGGAAGGGACCTTGCAGGTCATCCAGTCCAACCCCCCGCCCAAGCGGGAGACCCCACACCATTTCTGACAAATGGCAGTCCAATCTCTTCTTGAAAGTCTCAACTGATGGTGCTCCCACAATTTCTGAGGGTAAGCTGTTCCATTCCTTCTTTCCTTTCTTCCCTTCCTCCTTCCCTCCCTCCCTCCCTTTCTCTTTCTGTATTCATTCTTAGGGGTGGACATGCACAGGACTGTCCTGCAAAAATCAGTTTTGTTAAGGTGGTGATAGAAGATGCCATTGCTTCATTTAATATTGCCAATGGAGACAGCTGGCTTGCTTATCCTGTGCACGCATGAGATAACCACAGCTCCTTTTGCCAGCTTCTTTTATTCTTGGCCAGGAATAACACTAGAATGGTCAACTGCTCTGCCAGTAGTCTTGGCACTGGAAGGAACTCCCTAAATAGAACTGAAAGTGATTTAGAAAAATACATTATTGAAACTGCAGTACTAGTGAACAGAAGTGGAAAGGTATTAAATTCAAGGAAGAATTTTGCAGTCAGGAGATATAATTGAAACAAGAAGCAAAAGCCTCTATATGAGAAGCAATGTAGGGAATACTTTCACAGGATTCAGATCAGCAGTGAGCCTTGCTTTTTTACTCAGGCCACTTCCAAGTAAACATTTGAGAATAGTGTTTGGAAACCGAGAACCAAGCTCTTCCACTTCAGTTATTTGGGGTTTATACGATCCATGCGTTTGAGATGTTAAATCAAGAGATTGCTTGCTTGCTGGAAAGGAAGTTGATGATGAGATGCAGACCACACAGGAGTGATTTCTCCATCCCCAGAAGGAGAGAGACAGAGAATGAAAGTTGTCTTTGGTCCATTGGACCGTGCTCGGTCCCTCCCACCTCTGGAATAGAGCAGTACCCCAGGGCTGGTTGTTTGGAAAACAGCCCCAAAAAGGCCTATTTGTCTTCAGAATTCGATCCCCTCCATTAAAAACGGAGCACACCAAACCTATAGGATCCTTTTCTGAGAATGAATTATTTGCAGCAATGGCTGAATCTCAAGGCCAATAAACATTAATAGGTGGAAGCCAGAATGAATCCCCCACTGAAGAAGAAGGCTTCCTTGTTCTAAATCTAAATCTTTCATTATGGAGCAGCAATTTTCCACTGATGCGCAAAATCTTAGATTACTCTTGGCAATGGCTTTGTTGTATCACTCACACACACACACACACACACACACACACACACACTGTGTCCATCACACCACCCTTGTGGGGGCACCAGGTTGGGGAAGGATAGTGTAGCACACAAACCGTAGTTGACTTTTTGATCCGTAGAATTCCAAGTCCTGCAGGTCTAATATTCTGCCAAAGGAAATATACTGTATGTGGGTCCATCTTTTGCCTGTTATTGCTAAAAGATAAAAATGAACTTTGTACAGGCAGTCCTCGACTTACAACCATTGGCTTAGTGACTGTCCCAAGTTACAACAGCGCTGAAAAAAGTGACTTATGACCATTTCTCACACTTATAACCTTTGCAGCATCCCCATGAGTTACATTCGGATCACATTTATGACAGTTGCAGCGTCCTGGAGTGATGTGATCCCCTTTTGCAACCTTCTGACAAGCAAAATCAATGGGGAAACCAGATTCACTTAACAATCAGGTTACTAACTTAACAACTGCAGTGATTCACTTAACGACTGTGGCAAAAAAAGTCGTAAAATGGGGTAAAACTCAACAAAGTTCTCAGCAACATAAATTTTGGGCTCAATA